AATTTTTCCACAGCTTGTTTGCAATCTTAAAGGAATCATAGATGTCACAAATAATGAACTATCACTAAAAGTTTCACTTAGATCTTGATTGAATCTTGCTTGTTGTGTGCTACTGTCAAAGCCATAAGCCATATATAAATATGCATTGAACAACATTAATTTCTGCAATATCTTTCTCAATAAGTTCATGCTGTAATTTACAAATTCTTTCCAGATTATATCTTAATAGATACTTCCATTCTACTTTAATGCAATTTTCAGTTTGCAATATTTCACTTGGACAGCATTGAGATTTTTCAGCCGATACCAACTTATAAGGTGGGAAAGTATCACCACCTTGAGTTTTAGCTGCAAATCTTATTTGATAATACTGATCTTTGGACAAATTCATATCATAAAGAAATGATAATGCTTGTTCCGGTGCCATTCTCACAACTTCAGAGTTAGTCTTATTCAATACAGCTGCCAAATTTTGATTTTGAATAATTTGTTTGATTAAATGAGATAAGTCTTTTTTATCATGTTGTGCAGCGACGGTTGCAGCAACTCTTAGGTACATTTCAGTTTTGGGTTCGTTATTAGATACAAGATTAGCAACAACTCGGCGTTTGGATCTGCCAGACATCTTCGAAAATGACATAGTTGGTTTTCTTCTTTTTGCTTTTTTAGAACTGAGCAGCTGGGAAAATATCACCACCTTGGTGAGGATTACATTTAAGTTCTATTGTAGCTTGTATTCAGTTTGAAGCCAACTTCCATGGTATTTCATAAATCTTGCAGAAGAATAACCTTACTTTCTCCATAGTTCATTGTATCGCTTTTTTATATTTTTTATTTTTTGTGTTATAACATGTTTTTCTACTTCCCTTAGGTCTCTTTTAAGTTTTTCTTCACAATGCAACAAGCATTTTTCAATAGTTAGATAATGTTTATCATTTTGTTTTATAATTGAAACAATTTCACTATACTTAATAATCTTTTTAAAATGCTTATAAACAATTCACGGTTATATTTCTTTGAACTTTTCTTTTTGAATTATTTAAGCATTATTGGTTATTGATAGAAATGCCATCTGTCTTTTTTTTTAAAAAACTAAAAAAAAAAAAAAAAATACAAAAAAAAGTTTTTTAAATGAAAGAACTAATATATCAAACAGTACAAGACAGACTAAGTTTATATCAAATTTGATTGAATTAAGTTTCAAGTATTTATTACAAGTTAGAT